TAGCGAAAATTTAATAAGAAAAAAAATTTTGGTTCTTTCACGAATATTTTTCAAAAAAATAATGCTCTTAAGTTCGCCTACATAAAATAAAAATTTTAACATTTAAATTAACAGTAAGTGAATGAAATTTAAACAATTGATTTGTGATTGATTATTAAAAAATGTCCAACAAAAAAATTTTATATTTTTTATATTGCAACTAATTTATCAAAATTTCGAAAAGTTTTTACTTAATTTTGAATACTTTTCCAACTTTATAGGCACATCAAAATATTTTTGCCAAAAAAATTTTATTTTTATTAAATGTCGTTGTTTTACACTCTGGTGGAGCGTAACCCATCGTTGTTTTTTAGTCCAGGACTTTAAATATTAATAAGTTTGAATAAGCTCAAATTTCAATGTAATAAATTCACCAGTTGAGCACTAAAACAGGAAATAGTAACAGTACAAGAGTACAAGTGGGCAAAACAAAACAAAATTTTAGATTTGATGCCCAAAAATGTGCATAACTTCTCATATGTACCTCAGTAAGTAAATTAAATTTTATTTTGTAATTTTTTTTAAATTTTTTCGTTCTCAACAAATTCTAAAGAAATTTTTTATATGTAAAAAATCTCTAAATATTAAATTTTACAAGGCCAATTGTGTTGATATACCAGACATAATGTAAATGTGTCTGTAATTTTGTAAACATAATAATGTTTACAAAATAATTATCCTAGTCACATAATTTTTTAATTTTTATTCTATTTAAAACTTTAATTATTATTCTATTTTAATTTTTATATACTAAAAACTAAATTTACTTTCAATTCTTTTAACAATAAAATATTGTAAGTCTAATTTTCCATGTAATTATTTCCAATTATTATTCTAATTGCATATGCCTATACGTAAATTGTAAACTTAATTTTAGATAAAAACTAATTTGCGAAAATTCTAAAAATAAGCAATTACATACAATATTATTATTTAATGAAATGTAAATATGGTTGAACCCTTAAAACATTTTTCCCGAAACTATTGTAATTGTACACTTAGTAGTTAACTCGGTAGCGGTGACATTATTTGTTCCGATTTACCCACTGCTTACTATAATTTGTTTTATAAGGCGAAAACTAAAATCCCGTCCTCCTTCTCATCTTGACCCATAGGAGATTTTGTAATTTGCAATCCAGCTACATGAGGACTATTTTCAACATCCTAGCCTTAAGCGTTCCACAGTTTAAAGTCACATATCAGATACTCTGCCGTCTCATCGCCTTCTAAGCAGAGACGATACAGTTTCTCTCCACCTTGCTCATCTATTTTAAATGAACCGTGGAGAGATAATCATAATGTTCAGTGATCACTCCCACCACCAGCCTAAAATCTGAACGACTTAACGAAATGGCCTTTTTCCCCTGCTCTCTGGGAAGCCCGATAAATTTCCTGGAATACGCCATATCTGAACACTGATTACACCATTCATTCTTAGTACCGCTAATCCGGTCACCCCAAAGCAAAACTTAAACTCAATAAATGGAAACACAGTCTCCCTATGAGCCAACTCATCAGCCTTCTCATTTCCTTCAAATCCTCGATGCCCGATCACTCACATTAGCGTTAAACTGTTGTACCTAGCCAGAGCCTCGAGGATATCGACGCACTTCCTTATTATATTTGATGTTATCATATCGGATGAAAGGATCCCCAGAACAGCTTTGTCACTTAACAGAATATAGGCACATAAATCCTACGTCTTCTGAACTTTTTTCCTTAGCCTCCGCCTGGGGTATTGATGCGTCGCGTCCTATAATACTATGCATAGTGTTTAATATATACAAACTCTGGTGTATCCGTATGAATTATTAATTTTGTAAGATTTAAATTATCTGTAGCCACAGTGATTTTAAAATACTCAATATCTGGGGTTACATAATAATTTATTAATAGTAAATATTAATGTATTGCAGGAATTTACATATTGCACAAAATTCCGGGAATAAACCAAACTATCACAAAAAAACAAAAATTTCCTTCTTAAAATTTTAATTTAATAAAAAAATTTCCTTAAAAAATACACATATGTGTACATGATTTGTTTTAACAAATTATTTTTATATAATATTAAATTTTATTATTATACAATTGAGGTATTTTGGTTGGTACCAAACCCTCTTTCAATTAGAATTTAAAAAAATCAACTTGATTTTATTTTCAACTAAAGGTACGATACGTACACCGCTTAATACTCATATACATATACATATAAAATCAAATATTACAAATGAATTATTTTTCGACATTAATAGTTTTTATATGGATGAAATAACAGTTGATGGCAATACAAATATTATTTGTCTTTCTGCTTTTTTTGCTGTTTTTGGTATAGGTTTATAATCACATCATATATAGTAATTATTTTGAAAAGGCTGTTGAAAGTCATATTTTGAGGTCTCTTAAAGAGCTCTACATAATACCACAATTTTATATAGAACATATTAAATTATTCGCATATATACTCGTTCATTGTAGAAAATACATTTCATCTTTGAAAATTTAAAGGATATTTAAGGGAAAAAGGGGGCTTAATATTAATACACACCCTCTCATAATTTTTATCCTTATTTTCTATCTTCTTTTTTCACCACACTTTTAATATACCACTCTTAATCATGTGTACTCATTTTCTTTTTTGCACTTCTCATATTCATTAGTATAAGAAATAATAAAAACAAAAAAAAAACAGAAAAAGAAAATAATAAATTTATAACAACACACAATCAAATTATTAATTTAGTCTCCCTGGAGGCTGATTGAAAGTCTCAAAACATAAAAACATCTGAGAGGGTTGCAAAAAAAAAAAATATGTATAAATATATTGAATTAACAAAAAAAAAAAATCAAAACGTGAAAATAAAATGAAAAAATTTTCTCAAAATTAGAGAAAAAGTACTGATTTTCATTGTCGTAAATTAAGGGCGAAGGTGGAATAACAATAATAATAATAACGCGTTTTGTTAAAAGTAAAAACACATTGCTTGCTATACGGCAAAGAGAAAAAAAAAAGTTGATTTTTCATCTTGCATCAAAAGTTATTGTACAATTACGTCACAATATTAAATCCTTGATTAATGCATATACAATAAAGGATATTTCATAGAAAAAGAGAAGTATGAAAATAACAAAACTCAAATGAAAGTTTCCAAATGTGTATTTGTTTAGTTCTGTTCATTATGGGGTATATAAGGAAATACAGTTGTTATGGGCTGTTGATTATCACCGTATGAAATATATTTTCTTTATGGAGTACAAAGAACTGATTCCTACAAGATACTTGAATTTATTAAGGAGGTAGATCTCTGGAAAGAACACAATATGTGACCTGGATAGGGGGGGTGGGGGACACTTCTCACCATAATACCAAAAGTCTATAGCCTAGGAGGCAATGTGTCTATCAGAATTTAAAATAAAATTCAAATGAACAGTTATATACCTTAACATTTAACAACGTGTCGTTGCAATTTATCCGATATATCATTGGTCTATAACTACAAATAAATTCTTAGTTTGTCTTCCTCTCTTTAGGTATTCAGGTTTGTCTTCAACCATACTTAAAGTATGAACAATCCCTTGATATTTCTCTTTTATTATTGAATGTGAGCAGGTTCAGTACTTGCGAATGACGTTTACTTATCACATTTCGAGTCAATTATGCAAAATTTTTTGATTGACGTTTGAGTGAAGCCGGTTTCAAGTTAAGTGACGTGGACAATAAAGTAGGAACGAAATATTTAACATAACCTAAGAATAAAATTAATATTGACATTAAAATGACTGTTCGAAACGAAACCTTAACGTCACTATCTCTCTTTTGTACCGCATACCATGAAAAAATCCAATATAATATCCAAGAAACGAACTAAGTACAATAAAAATTTTGTTTGATCTACATCAAGGAATAACTCTGATCAGTTTTTGTTCTTTCTGAAGAACAAATGAAAGAAATGAAGTCATATTAAAAAAAAAATAATAATTACAGCAGCAATAAAATAATTTTCAAGACCTTCAGAAAATTCTGATTAACCCCAATCCTTTTAAATGGAAATAACATCATTTTGGGATTTTCTTTCATATTTTCATTTCATTGATAAATCGTGAAATTTTGTTAATCAATTTGTTCTAATTGCGCGTAATGTTTATTAAAATTTTTTTTTATATTTGCCATAGTACATTTAACAATAGAGGGATGAAACTAATTATTTTAATTAGAGAAATGAACGAAAAAAAAACAAATGTGCAATTATAAAATCTGCTCATATGTCAAATATTAAAGTAAAAAATAAAAAAAAAAATCGTGATTTCTTTGTTAAATTCTAAATTTCCAAATGGATTTTATAGTGAAATAAATTTAAATTATTTACTTGATCATATGTTATGATTTTAAAGTTATTTAATTTATGTAAATCCCAATAAAAGGTATGCATACGCAATATGTAATTTGAGTAACAAGGGCTTCCCAAAATCGAAGGTTTCCTTTACGATTGTATTGGTTGATGAGAATCCGATAAAATTATTCAAAAATGGTGACGACCCTTTTCCTATGATTTCAATTAAAAAAGTTGAATTCGCATTTATTGAACATTAATCGCAAGTACGGGGTTTCTTTAATACAAATTTCAAAATCAACTAGTAAAAAAAAAATCCAAATCACATTACCTATTTTTGTATGTGCCAATTGAAATTTATTCAATTGAAATAAATAAAATATTAATTTGAAGATGGCTGAGCCTACAAATTGTTACTGCACAGATTGTTGTCCACATAAAAATATTTGTGCTGCTTCTATTGCAGCCAAGAATCTATCGAAACAAAAGTATTCAAAAAATTTTGCTACAAGAGCAAAATATTCAAAAAAAGTTAATTTAGATCCAAATATTGGTAACGACTTAATTACATCATAATAAATAATGTTGAAGCACTTTAAATTTAATAAAAAAACAAAATTAACTTTTTAGAATTGAAGACTGTTATTGCAGTTAATGGTCCTTTAGTTATCTTGGATGATGTAAAATTTCCGAAATTTTCTGAAATAGTTCGAATACATATGAAAAACGGAGAAACAAGAACAGGACAAATTTTAGAAGTTTCTGGTAAAAAAGCTGTAGTACAAGTATTTGAAGGTACTTCACAAATTGATATTAATACAGTAATCGAATTCACTGGCGATACTTTGCATGCTGGTGTTTCCGAAGATATGGTTAGTTATTTCCTAAAATAATATTATTTTCATAATAATGTGTCGCTTTTAAATTATAAAAATTTTAAATTTCAATTCTAGTTGGGCAGAGTTTTGAATGGTTCTGGAATACCAATTGATCATGGTCCTAAAGTATTACCTGAAGATTTTTTAGATATCCAAGGTCACCCAATAAATCCATGTACAAGAATTTATCCAAGAGAAACAATTCAAACTGGAATTTCTGCAATTGATGTTATGAATACAATAGCACGAGGACAAAAAATTCCAATATTTTCAGCAGCCGGATTACCTCATAATGAAATTGCAGCACAAATATGTCGTCAGGCAGGTTTGGTTAAGGTAAATATGTTTATATATTGCATTCTCTGTTCTAATAAAATCTAAAATTTCATTAAAGTTAAATAAATCTGTTCGTGATGATCATGATGATAATTTTGCTATTGTTTTTGCTGCAATGGGTGTAAATATGGAAACAGCTAGATTTTTCCGAACAGATTTTGAAATTAATGAAACAATGGAAAATGTTTGCTTATTTTTAAATTTAGCAAATGATCCAACAATTGAACGTATTATAACACCAAGAATTGCTTTAACTACTGCAGAATTTTTAGCATATCAATGTGAAAAACATGTTCTTGTAATCTTGACCGATATGACATCTTATTGTGAAGCATTACGTGAAATTTCTTCAGCAAAAGAAGAAGTCCCGGGTAGAAGAGGTTTTCCTGGTTATATGTATACCGATTTAGCAACAATTTATGAACGTGCCGGTAGAATTGAAGGTCGAAATGGTTCAATAACACAAATACCAATTTTAACAATGCCAAATGACGATATATCACATCCAATACCAGATTTAACTGGTTATATAACTGAAGGTCAGATATATATTGATAGAGATTTGCATAATAAACAAATTTATCCACCAATTAATATATTACCATCATTATCAAGATTAATGAAATCAGCAGTTGGTGATGGTATGACAAGAGATGATCATCCAGATGTTTCAAATCAAATATATTCTTTATATGCTATTGGAAAAGATATTAATTCTATGAAATCAATTATTGGAGAAGAGGCTTTAAGTGAAGAGGATAAATTATATTTGGAATTTTTGAAAAAATTTGAAAAGAATTTTTTATCTCAGGTATAGTAGTTACAATTGAGTATTACTAGAACATCTGTGTAGTTTTTAATATATATCTTTCTGCTTTTGGTTTTTAGGATCATAATGAAAATCGAGATGTTTTGAAATCATTAGAAATTGCTTGGCAGGCACTAAGAATTTTTCCCAAAGAAATGCTTAAGAGGATTCCAATTGATATTTTAGAGAAATATTATAAACGAGGATCATTATTATAAGACAATTATGAAAACAATAAGACGAGCAGCTTCCAGTTTCTCTTAATTTGCATATGTTGTCTCTATTTAGAACTGAAATTAAATTTATTTCTGTATAGAGAAATTTTGTATCTGACATTATAGTAACTAAATAACCATTTCCCCGACTAGTAACTATAAACACTACAAATTCTATACAAAATTCACATAACCTTGTGTAACTGACGCTACAGAATAATTAATAAATTTGCACATTTAAGTTAATACGAAAGTGTAATAGTGTAATCACATTGCTTCCATAATATGATATGCGTTACAACGTCAACGTGTATTAAATAATATTATGTATGTATGTATATGTGAAACATCTGGGAGTTCGGAAATTTTAATTTTCATTCCTTTCCTTTTGAAATTAAAGCATACTTTAAAATTGCAAGAACTAGCATATAGCAGAGTTTCTTTATAGAAATTTTAAAAATCATATGATTTTATTAAACATAACCACTACATCCCAGTTCCCTAATATGGAACGTACATAAATATTATTTTAGGACATAAATATGTATATACGAATGTATTTGAAAGAATATCGCAATAAATTTCATTTTGATTAATTTCATCTTTTTATATAAGAATAGAAAAAGAAAACCCGTAACTCAAATATTAAATCATATATATACATAATGCATATTCAACAATTTAATAAAAATTTATGAAACTCCATACACAAACAAATATCACATACATAACTTACATTATATTTATACTTACATACAAAAGTAAATATATTGAAAATAATATAATTTGAAATTCATTGCGTGTATATGGCCGGAAATACATTAAATTCAATTTGGTGGGTTAAACCGAAAACCGCCCCCTTACGCACATCCTTAAAGCCTTTTTATTATTATTATTATTGTTATACTCTGTACAATACGATGTAATAATGAAAGTATACCTTGTATAAGGTTATACAGTACAATAATAATAACGTAAAGTTGATGGCTGTTGACACACATATAATTTTCTTAAAAATGAGAAGAAAAAAAAAATTATTTCCTTGAATTTTAGAGAGAGAGAAAGATCTTCGTACGAGTATTGTGTATTTTAACGTCTTATTGTTGATTTCATTTTGGTTATTTTCTATATCCTTTAAATACAAATAATATGGGCACATATGTATGTCTTCCTATAGGTATATTCGAGTATATTACATTGAATTTAAGAAATTAAAGAGAAAAAATAAATAATGAAGAATTGAATTAAATTTCATTCGAATAAAATTTTTTATAAATTAATATTGAAAATGAAGGTTAAATTTTTTTTTTCAAAATTATTACGATATTTTCAAATTTTTAAATAATATTGTGAGTGAAATCTATAATGTATAAATGAATGTATGTGACTGAAGAATTTAAAATCAATTACATTATTTTGATTTCTTTTCTCATATCAATTTATTAATTTTCATTGTATGTTCAAGTAATTTTTATGATTGATATTTTCTATATGAAGCCCTCGAAAAACGAACAATAGAAAAGGAGCAATTCAACATAAATGTTGCGTTCACTTAAGTAATTAATTTTTTGATCTAGTATATTATTTTTTTGTCTATAAAATTAATTATGGAAATAGTTTATGAAATTAAATTTTAATTATTTAAAATTTATAATTTTAGATAACTTCACATTCAAATTTTGTAGCCATTAAGAATGTATTTCCTTGAGAGAAAACGTATTGAATGCCGAATTAAATTTCTTCTTCAGGACCATTTGGCCCTTAAGCATCACAAAAGTAAATTGATATAATATAAACGTTGAACTCAAGTCACGTTGCAGGTGACAATGACCGGAATTGGTATAGGCAAATAATGAGAATTGGATAAAAACTAAATAAAAATATTCACGGATGAGAGATACTTTCTACTCGCGGGTCTTATGAGCATAAGTTGAACTTGAAAGTTTATTGCATTTGCGAATTTTATGGTGTAAAGTTAGTCCATAAACAACTACGATCTTGCTTCGGAAAATTTTCAAGCAATCGAACATCAAAAGATAATGGCATTAATAAGGCAACTACACATTGGGAGAGTTCTTTAAGTGCGATAATTAACTGGAGCAGGTTCATTTCTAGGATATAGTACGTATTTGGATATAGTAATCATCTTAAATATCACACCTGGAAAGTCAATAGAGCACAGAAGAAGAAACTCTCTTAAAAAAAAGATTTTTCTAAATATGTAATTAAATCCTTATATTGTTTCAATATGTACCAGATGACATCGCGAGTGGATAATAGGAAAACAGCTGCCAAAACATTAATTCAAGTACGGGGTGCTTCAATCACTTGAACTAATTAAGTAAATATTTAACTAGTTGCTTTTATAAATATTTTAATACTCTAATACTTGAAAATTTGTACACCTTATAACGCTTCTTTAGTTATTGCATTTGAATTCTGCAATTTTTTAAATCTTATTCAAATTTAAAAAAATATTTAATATAAAAAAAAATATGATATTTCTTCCCTCGGTTATTTTTTCCTAAATTGAATTATTCTATTTAATTAGATAAAGTAAAACAATATTTTTGCTTCTAGCTGATAATTTGATTATAAGATTTAAAAGCATATTGAAACAATCATATATAAATAATCTAATTTCGTATTGCAAATTTGAAGGCATGTACGGCAGAGTAACGACCTTTAAGTATTACTTGCACATAAAAATTTAATTTTTAATTGTAATCATGAATTTTTTTTGAGAACAGGCATAGACTGTTTTTCAGATTTTTAAAATAAATCAACATAGTTAGTTCTTTAAATAAAATTTAATATAATTCAAAAATATTTTAGCATCGTACATGCTATGCTAAAAATCTCGTAAATAAAATTCTTAGAATGGTTGCCTTATAAGGGTGAAATAATTGAAAATTTCATATATATGAGCTTATGTTCAATCAAAAAAAAAATCATATCTTCTTAAAACTTATGGTAAATTACCGTATTAAAAATAGAGATTGAATTCCTGCTTTTGAACTGATTCGTGCCTTTTTTTTTCATCATATTTTCTCATCTACTTATCGTAATTTATTTTTACTATCAATTTTCTTTTTTTTTTGAATATTGGGAAGGATTAGAATCTCTATAAATCCTTTAAAATTTTTCTTTTTTTTTTTTTGATTATGATAATAAGATATGAAAGAAGAATGAAAAAAAGGAATCTCAAACTTTCATTAAAAAAAAAATTACTTTTTTATATACGCGTCTCTATTATAGGCGTATCGATTCTCTTACATATTTTATGAATTTTCAATTTGATTATTTGAAAAATCACCCTTCTTATATATAAGTTAAAAAAATTTTCATGGGTTATGATGATGCCCAACAACAATGAGGGTGTAAAAATAATATTCTCCTTTATTTTTTTCTGTGTTTTTTTTTTGTTTGTTTCCTTTTTCTTTGTCTACTCTACGTTAGAAAGGTATATTGTATAATTCGAGTTCGTGTTCAATAAAAGAAATTCAAAATAAATCAACAGGCATAAGATTTTCTGTACAATAATATATTATTGAAATTTTTTGTATAATATACGTATATATATATATGCAATTTATATATAGGTAAGATGTAAAGATATACTTATATATAGAGAGCATTTTAATTATTGTAATTCGAATAGAAGAAGCCATATTTTATTTAAATAATCATCAATAAGAGAAATTAGAAAATAAGTCTATAATTAATTAGGCGTTTTATATCTAAGAATAAAATTTATTTATAATTATATTTGTATTAAAATATGATTTTGTAAATTATGGCCAGAAAATCAGGAAGTTTAAAATTGGATGGGGAGGAAAATTGTTTTGAGGCATCATTATAAATAAATTTTAAGAATTTGCAAACACAGAATTGCGTGGTCTAAATTAGAAAAATGATAATTGAAACTTTGAATTCTTTAAGTCAATTGTTTTTCTCGAAATATTAACAAATTTTTTAGTATGTTGCTACTTTCCAATAAAATTCAGAATATTGTATGATTTAGATTTTAGAATGATTGCACTATGGTATGACTTTTAATGACCATTGTAATAAAATCGAGTTTTCGTTGAAATCATTGCTGTTATTATTTTAATTAAAATAAATTGCATTACTATATATAGGAGTTTTCGCAATAGTTTCCAAAAATTTATTAATCCACAGTCATGCCGATATTTAGAACTGCAAACATATTTTCAGCTAAATCGAAAACATTAATAAAAATTTCTCTTCTCGATGCTGCACAATAGAAATTTCCAATTTAAAATGCAAGATTAATTTCAATTTAATACCATCATACTTAAATCCATTAAAAAAATTGATGTAACAAAATTATATACAAACAAAATTTATTCGTATACATCCGAAATTTTATCCTTCAAAAAAAATGAAGCAAAAATTATGTTTTTTTATTTGCTATTATTAAAAATTTATATTAATCTACAAACATACATTCTATGCGATTAAAATGTACACTTTCATATTGTAAATTTTCTATTTACTTAACTATTATAAGAAAAATTAAAAAAGAAAAAAAAATTTAAAAGAAAAATCATTTTTTTTGGAGGAAAAACGCTGAAAAGCTTTTTATTCCACTTTATCTCTTCCAATTCTCATCAGAAAATCTAAGAATAAAACAACATACAAAACAAAAAAATATAAAAAAAACGTAGTATGTATAAGAAAAAAGAAAAGGATGTTCTTATTTCAGACATTTTCTTCTACTTTAAAATTATTCATTATAAATTTTTTTGATTAATTTCCGATGATTCCTACTTCATCATGTTCCTAATTTGCCCGGAAATTTCCAAAATCTGAAAATTTGAAAAAATTACTCCAAAAGTACTCTAATTTTATCCCACTTGGCCAGAAACAGCGTCAAAGGATTATAGGATATTTTGATATACTGTAATACTTTTTCGAATTCAGAGTTTGGTAAAATTTCCTCGGCTTCTTAGAGATTAGCCAGCAAATGCGTTTACAATTTTTTTTTTTTAATTTTTGTCAGATTAATGGCTTAGCTTCATTAAGAGATGGACAGTCACACTACATTGTTTTTATAAAGCAATTTTCTAAGACATTCTTGAAATTCTTAATACATTTAATCCGGAATCTGTTTGATGGATTTCTTCGTATTTTTTTGCATTTTAGTTTCCCTCTTCTTATATACAAAAAGGAAAAAAATTGTACATTTTCATGTTTTTTTGCTTTTTTACTAATGGTGCAATGCTGTTAGCAACATCAACTTAAAAATTTTTGTTTTTTCAATTTTTTTTTATTTTCGTTATATTATTCGCTAAAAAAATTATGATATTGGCTAGCTAGTTCTCGTTCACTTACAATAAGATTTCTATTTAGCTTTTTCCTATATTAACTACTTATATATAGAAAAAAAACTAGAAAATAAAAAAAAAAAGA